GGGTCTAGTGCCTGGTGTCATGGGGTCTAGTGCCTGGTGTCATGGGGTCTAGTGCCCGGTGTCATGGGGTCTAGTGCCCGGTGTCATGGGGTCTAGTGCCTGGTGTCATGGGGTCTAGTGCCTGGTGTCATGGGGTCTAATATGTAGCGCAATGTCATGGGGTCTAATATGTAGCGCGGTGTCATGGGGTCTAGTACCCGGTGTCATGGGGTCTAATATGTAGCCCGGTGTCACGGGGTCTAATATGTAGCCCGGTGTCATGGGGTCTAATATGTAGCCCGGTGTCATGGGGTCTAGTGCCCGGTGTCATGGGGTCTAGTGCTCGGTGTCGTGGGTCTAACAAGAAGCTCAGTATCATGAGGTCTAGGCCTTGGACGGAGTCTTCCAGAACTCTTCATGAAATCAAAAGATGTTCAATTTAAGTGTTCAGCATCAGATTTTGTTCTACATTTTAATCAGTAACTTGTTGACTTGAATTTAGCCTGAACCTATTGTCAGAGAAATAATTGAGACCTTTTCAAAAAATCGATGCACATGCTTCTTAAGTGAATGGTTTTGCGTATTCAATATTCATTTACATCTCCTTAAGATGGAGTATTGTTTACTCGTTATATTCGAGTTAGCAGTAAAGCTTGTACAGCAACCTAGCTGTTTCTTTGCATTACTGCCTTTCATAATATTGGAGTTTTACACTATCTCTTCAAGGGTAAAGTAAATTATTTTATATATGAATTATTGAAGTATTTTACTTTTGAGTTATTAAAGTAGTTACTTTTGAATTAGTAAAGTATTTTACTATTGATTAGTGGATTATTTTTCTTCTGAATTAGTGAAATATTTTAGTGTTTAATTAGTTAAGCATTTTACTTTTGAATTATTGAAGTATTTTAGTTTTTATTTAGTGAAGTATTTTACTTTTGAATTATTAAAGTATTTTTCTTCTGAATTATTGAACTATTTTATTTTTGAGCTTGTTCATTTTGCGGGCAGTTCGAGTACGGCGAGGACGGTCTGGACGTAACCAAAGCGCCGTTCCTGAAGAGCCCCAAGATATTGGACGTGGTGGTTGACAACTGCGTCAGGCAGTTGCACGATTCGCAGCTACAGGCTGCTCAGGACAAGCTTAATAACGCTAATATATCCAAACATAGGAAAAAGGTAGGGATTGATTAAATTAAAGGGATAAATACATTCAAACACAGGATGAAGGTATGGATTGATTAAATTAAAGAGATAAATACATTCAAACACAGGATGAATTAGTGTTTAGTTAATTAATGTTTAGACAAGACAAGCTTAACAACGCTAATATATCCAAACATAGGAAAAAAGTAGGGATTGAGTAATTAAACAGATAAACACATTCAAACATAGGATGAATTAGCGTTTAGTTAATTAATGTTTAGACAAGACCAGCTTAACAACGCCGCTATATATATATAAAACGCCGTGTTTTCTGATCAACAATAGTTTAAATTAGGACCTATAAAAGGTCTCTCTGATCACGTTAGCTTTCATCTTTGTTGTAAGGTATTGATTCTGGATTCGTTTATTTATCGCTTCATATTCTTCCTATCTTCTGATTCACGTTTGTTTTTGAACAGTGAAACTGATTTTCAAATCGTGAACAATGATTAAATTATTTCGATCGATAATTAATTTGATCACGTCCGTTGATGAACTGTGACACTGCTTATCAACCTGCAAATTGTTATTAAATTTTGTCGATTGAATCGTTCAATCCCGTCAGTTTTTGAACTGTAGAAAACCGTATCAATTGGTAAACTGAATTAAAATATCAGTGAAGCGTTTAGATTGATTTGTCAATCACGACTCTTCTTCAAATGGAAAACTGCGTTTCAACAGCTACACTATCATAATTATTTTAATTGCTTCAGATGTCTTCAATGATGGCTTATTATATTATTTTAATGTTACATTATCATATTATTTTAATTGATTGTGAAGGTACGGAAGTAGGTATCTAAAGCAGCAACGCAAGTTAGATTCCTTTAATGATGTTTTATTATATTATTTTAATATTACTTTATCATATTATTTTAATTGATTGTGAAGGTACGGAAGTATCTAAAGAAGCAACGTAAGCTAGGCACCAGACGCCGCTGTAGCGCCTTCACCATCTTCTGCGAGGACCAGGAAAACTGCACTGGACAACACGACGCGAAGGCTTCCACCATCAATAGTGACACGGGGCGGTCTAGACGAGCCCAAACTTTGTTAAATAAATGGAACGAATTGGATCAAGATTCAAAATTAGAGTGAGTATTAGTAATTATAGTGACACGAGCTCAAACTTTATCTAGACGAGCTCAAACTTTGTTAAATAAATGGAACGAATTGGATCAAGATTCAAAATTAGAGTGAGTATTAGTAATTATAAGATTTATTTTTGATTATGTCATTGATTGTTTATGTATCTTTCATGAGTCTATTTGGTCTGTTTATTTTTTATTGTTAAAATCTGGTGTTGATTATATTTATTCATCATATCTGTATATTCGTACTATATTCAAATCCATATATTCGTTTTTCCTTCATTGCTCACCTACGAAAATCGAATGTTTGTTTTTTCTTCACTGCTCAGATACGAAAATCTAAAGTTTGTTTTTTCTTCACTGCTCAGATACGAAAATCGAACGTTTGTTTTTTCTTCACTGCTCAGATACTAAAATCTAAAGTTTGTTTTTTTCCTCATTGCTCAGATACAATAATCTAGTTTTTCCTTAATTTCTCAGATACGAAAACACTGCTCAGATACGAAAATCGAATGTTTGTTTTTCTCTTCACTGCTTAGATTCGAAAATCGAACGTTTGTTTTTTTTTTCTCCACTGCTCAGATAGTTTTTCCTTAATCTAGTTATAGTTTTTCTTTAATCTAGTTTTTTCTCAATTCACCAGATACGAGAACCGGTACCGTGCCGTGGTGCCGGTACGACCAGATCCCGTTCTGTCGAGGTACTGCGGGCACAGCAACGTTGGCGTCATGTCGGAGGTGCTGGATGACTTCGTCGAGTCTTACTACAACCAGCAGTACGCCAAGAGGGATGCTCATCATAAGAAATACGACAGACAAACGGTATGTTTTTCTTGATATTTAACAGTGCAGACTTTTGTTAATGACTTGTATAAACTCTTCTTTTGCTCCTCGAAACTACAATCAGCAGTACGCCATCTTGTATTAACTCTTCTTTTGCTCATCGAAACTACAATCAGCAGTACGCCAAGAGGGATGCTCATCATAAGAAATACGACAGACAAACGGTATGTGTTGACATTCAGCGGTGCAGACTTTTGTTTAATGATTTGTATAAACTCTTCTTTTGCTCCTCGAATGCCATTTTATTGATGCTCCTATTTCGATCTAGATTTACCGGACGGTCTACTTACTATGTAGCTCAACTCCCATTTTACAACACTTCTCTCTAACTTCTCTTCTTGTTTGTCTGTCTGTCTGTCTGTCTGTCTGTCTGCTACAAATCTTATAATCAAAATTTAACGCACTTCTACTTATCCTATCGTTCTGAAATTTTGCACACTTGCGTATAATTGGAGACAATGCATGAATCAAATGACAAAATAAATAATTGAAAATTTTTTTTACATCATTAAAAAAGCTGAAAAAATAATTTTGTCAGCTACAAATCTTATAATTGATATTTGACACTTTTTTACCTGTTCAATTGATCTGAAATTTTGCACACTTGTGTGAAGTCAGAGGCAATGCATGAATCAATTGACAGAATAAATAATTTTGAAAAAAAAATTTCTTTATTGAAAAAATTGAAAAATTAATTTTTTAAAATTCGAAAATAAAATTAGAAAATCGTTGTACATCTGTAACATTGGAAACACTGGATTCTTTAGAAGTGTTGTCTTTAAAAATTAATTTTTAAACGTATATTGTTTAGCATTCATTGTCCATCACTCTTGTCAATCAAACACTTGATGTGTTTGATTTCAAAGTTTTCTTTAAAGTTCTTTCTTTTATCCCATTCTTAAATGGATTTGAAATATTTATGTTTTTTCAAGGACTGTCTTATCAACTACTGACTGCGATGGTAATAAGGGTTACCACTGTCTTCGCTCGTAATAAAACATGGCGGTGGTAATAAGGGTTACCGATGTACCGTAGTGGTAATCGCAAGCACGGTCATCGCTCGTGGTAACACTGCCTGCGGTGGTAATAAGGGTTACCATTGTCTTCGCTCGTAATAAAACATGACGGTGGTAATAGAGGTTACCGATGTAGTGGTAATCGCCAGGTATTCCCCCAGATCGAGACGACGGTGGCCATCAAAGCTCGCAGCGCTCACGTCGACCCTGGCGAGGCAGTGGGCGCCATCTGCGCGCAGGTCAGGCTTCAGCTCTTGAATTTATTGTGAATTTAACTATTTTATTTACAATTATGGATCTTTAGGCCCATGGTTTCAAATTTATTGTGAATTTAACTATTTTATTTACAATTATGAATCTTTAGGACCATGGTTTCAAATTTATTGTGAATTTAACCATTTTATTTACAATTATGAATCTTTAGGACCATGG